GCAGCCACAGCTTCTCTGGGCACCCTGTGCCAGGGCCTGCCCACCCTCCCAGGGAACAATTCCTGCMCAATATCCCATCTGGCCCTGCCCTCTGGCACTGGGGAGCCATTCCCTGGCTCCTGTCCCTGCAGCCCTTGGAAATTGTCTCTCTCCATGGTTCCTGTGGGCTCCTTCAGGCCCTGCAAGGCCACACTGAGCTCAGCCCAAAGCTTCTCCTGTCCAGGCTGAACAATCCCAGCTCTCCCAGCCTTTCCTCCCAGCACAGCTGCTCCATCCCTCTGACCATCCTGCTGCCTCCTCTGGGCTCTCTCCAGCAGCTCCACGTCCTTCCTGTGCTGGGCCCCAGGGCTGGAGCAGCTCTGCAGGTGGGGTCTCACCTGAGCAATGGGGCACAGGGGCACAATCCCAGTCCGTTTCCTGGGAATCAGTCCAGAACAGTCCTGATCTCTGGGATGGGGCAGGTCCAGCTCCCCCAAATCCTTGTCCCAGGGATCYTTCATCAAACCCCTCCCTGTTTGCAGAGCCCTGGAACAGCTGTGCTCTGTGTTCTCAGAGCTGCGAGGTTTCAGTAACAAATAATTGCAACCTTCCAGCAGGAACTGTGAGATTAAAGCCTCCTCTTCCTCCTCCTCCCCGGTCAGGTGTCCCCAAACATTTCCCAGGATTATCAGGATCCCTGCACGTGGATCCTCTGTCCTTGGATCCTCCCCCAGATTTCCTGCTGGCTGAAAGGGAGAAGGGATGAGAGAGGCACTGCAGGAAAGGGTTTGTGTGGGTTTGTTTGGGATCTGGGATTGCAGAGCCACGGGATCCTGGCAGGGTCAGCACCTGGGAATTCCAGGGGATTTCATTCCTGGTGATTTTCCGGGGAATTTGCAGCTCCATGGGTGGATGGGGTGAATTCCTGCTGGACCATCCGGTGTTTTATCCTGGAGAATAAAATACTCAGGATAGCAAACATGATCCATCAGTAGGAAAAGAAAAGTGGGTTCTTGATCCACCTGAGAAAATCAGGCASTTCTGCTTGATGGCAGCTGTGAAAAGGAATCTTTTTTCTTGAACAGGACAAAGTTAAAAAGAAAATAAACAACTGTTCAAGATCCCTCCCTATGCTCCTGGACTTAACCGTGAAATCCTGGAGTGTTTTCTCCCTCATACCCCGATTCTAATTCTCCTCTGTCCCTTTTTTAGCAGCTTGCTGTGGAGTGGGCATTGGATAGTCCAGATTATTTCACTTTTATTCTGAATTTTTCTGAATATTTCACTCTTATTCTGAATTAATTAAGGGGTTTCTGCAAGAACTCAAATGTGTGTCTGGCAGGGGAGACATGAATCTTTCAGATTTTTTTTTTTCTTGTTTGGGGTTTTAATACTTTTCTAATTTTTGGTTTTTAAATTTTTCTGACTCGCAGAGCTTTAATTGGTTTATTTTCCTATAGGATGTAGATGATTGCAGATTTGGGATGGACACTCAATCCATGATTTCCTTGGATCTCCTGGCTGGTGAATTATTAAAATTAGTAACACTAAAATATTCGTAAAATTAAAATTTTACTGAATGAAAAATTAAAATAAAAATAGTAAAATTAAAAATTAGTRGCAATTATATAAAAATGAATGGAGTGGGGCTCGGAGCAGCCTGGTCTGATGGAAAATTCCCTGATCTTTAACTTCCCTCCCAACCCAAACCATTCCACGATTTTCAGGCCAAAGCTTCTGTAGGTTTTGGGGGTGTTTGCTGTGATGAGTAAAGAGTGAAACTGGAAAAGAGAAATCCATAAATCCCCATGGTTGTGGGGAAAAAAAAGGGCTTTTCCCCCTGGATTCTGCAGTGCTCCARCACCATTTGGGATATAAAGGATAAAGTGCATTACAGGCACCTTAAAACTCAGCAATATCCAAGAGATTTCCCAGAGAAAGGGAATTTTCTGGGGATTTCTCTAAAGCTGAGATTTTTCCAAGGCTGCCAGGGGGGATTGTGGCCCTGAGGTGTTGCTGTCAGGAGCAGTTTGACTCTCCTGAAGACCTCTGATCCCACAAACAATGGGATTATTCCTTCTCAGGAAATTCTGCTCACCAAGGGGGTGTCAAAATTTTGKTTTTTCTCTTGAATGCATCTCTTTGGGCATCCTCCTCCTTTTGTTTTATATTTTTGGAGACCTAATATTGACAGGTTTTGCCTTTGGGTCATTATGAAAACAGAGTTTTGGGAACGGTGTGGATACATCTAAAAAATCCAACTTTTCAASCCCTGGTTTACTGATCTTTAAACTGCAGCTGAATTAGCCACTGACTCACATTTATTTTAATCATAACAGAATGTGAGTATTTTTGTTTTTCAAGTGTCTCAGAGCATGATTTGAGTAGCAAAATCATAACTTTCCACCTTGTGGGTGAACAAATCATGGCAAGGAGCAGGCTCTGAGAAATTCAGGTGAGGTTTTGAGCCTGACTCACCCATGGATGTGAGAAACCAGGGGAAGAATGTATTTAAATCAGAATTCCCAACCTTTCCCTCCTTCTGGGCAAAGGGTTTGTGCCAAATATTTCTTTTTCTCGCCACTATTTTTCATTAATGAGCTTTGGGGGTTTTGGTGCCAGAGCTGTTTGTGCCTGGCACAAAAAAAAACAAACCCATTTCCATAAGGTGTGGCCCAGCCTTTGAATGAAAGAATGTTCAACTCTGCCTTGGTTTGAGATGATCCAGAGCCACAGAATCCCCTCTGGGCTGGGGCTGCCTAAGGACAGCGGGATGGATT